TGGGCTCACTTTATCATGGGCTAAGTTCACTTTGAGCAGACAACAACCACATAGTTTGCTGGCATCTTGGCTGAGAACTTCATCAAGATGGAAGTAACCATATTGACTTGACTGATATCTTTGCTAATGAGATCATAAAAAAGACAAATGGCATGAAACATCACCACCATCTTGGCTAATGTTACCATATGGCACAGCCAAAAGAGAGAGACCCATGGAACTTCATGGTCCTACTGAGTCCTCTTGGAATCACCATGCCTCTTTTATATCAGACTAAGGAGGTGAGATCAAACCTCTCAGATGTTTACTTTGTCATTTTAAGGCTTCATTTGGTTTTAATTTTGATAATTTTTTTAAAAAGATTTATTTATTTATTATGTATACAGTGTTCTGCCTGCATGTATGCCTGCAGGCCAGAAGAGGGCACCAGATCTCATTACAGATGGTTGTGAGCCACTATGTGGTTGCTGGGAATTGAACTCAGGACCTTTGGAAGAATAGCCAGTGCTCTTAACCTCTGAGCCATCTCTCCAGCCCGGTTTTTGATAATTTTTAAATGATAATTCTCCTGGCTTCTAAGGAGATCCTAAAAGTTTTCCTGGTAGCATGCCTTCAACAATGGCATTCTAACAAGGGGAGCTAACACTTTGAGATTAACGGGTCCCAGTGAAGACTCAAAGGATAAATTGCCAAGTGCTAAACAAGGCGCTGCCCGGCCGGCCGAAGCCGCCAGGCCCAGTTTCAAGTAACTGAGATAAAATGTCCTTTATCCCGAGTGCTCTTTTGTTCTGCACGTGTCTGTTTTTGTTTCTTCCCAATCTAACAATACATTTGCTAAAACTCTATGTTAATTTCCCTTCTCACGATGAAAATTATAAGATATAATTCCTACAAATAACAACGCTCAAATATTTGGTTTAAAAAATACCTCTTGGGTATGTTTATGTATATAAAGACTATCTGAACATACGTAATTCTGGTTTGTTTTTTGCATTGTGTACTTAACATCATATTGACTAATAAGTAAATAATGATGCAAACTAAAATTGTTAATTTGGCCATACTTTATATTGTTTATAATAAAACTGAAATTTAAAAAAAAGATAAATAGGCATGGCTAATGGTCCCAAATCTTTCTTTGGAACAATTAACATGAATTTTTAAATTTAAAAACTTTAAATCTGCTTTTAGGACAAGAATTAATAATCATACAATTCTGGTCAATGCTATCTCCTTGATCCTTATCCCAACTTGAGTTCCACAATATGGTCTCTATCACTTAATAATATTTATTAACTTTAAGAGATGGTCATTCCTACTTTGGGATATGTTTTTCCTGTTGTACAATTTCTTTTTCTTTAGATTTGAATAACTTATGTCTGTGCCTTTAAATGTACTTTACATGTAAATGAAAGTATATACAAATGTAAACATTTAAAGAATATTTTTGATCACTATAATCTCTTTAAAAACAAACAAATGAACAAATTGATTTTTCAAGATCAAATATAGGGCTTCCACCCTATATCCTAAGATAAACAATTGCCATCTTCATACCATCAGCTGTACTGGCCTAAATTGATCTTAGTGAGACTTGTTAAATGTTAATAATTCTTCGTAAAAAGAGGAGTGATAAATGGAGATTTATTTATGTGACTATAAAATGTCCTCATATATATTGAGTTTTTTAGTGTAATTGCTTCTGTGTGACTCACATTCCTAGCAGTAACTCCTTACCAATTATCTGTAAGTAAGCTTAATAAACTCATTGGTTTCCCAGGGTGAACTTTCATGAACTTGAACTTCTGTTTGACAGGGGTCTTATGAATAGGGAATTGACATTGCTTACTACCCAGTCCCTACACACAGGGAGAAAGTTCTCAAGTAGAGGGTAAATTCAATTGTTAACGCTATTGTGTTTCATGATATTAAGAATTTTAAAAACTGGTTGGTGGTAGCTTACGCCCTTTATCCCAGCACGTGGGAGGTAGAGGCAGGCAGATCTCAGTTGGAGGCCAGCCTGGTATATAGGGAGAGTTCCAGGACAGCCAGGGCTACACAGAGAAACCCTGTCTCAAAAAACAAAAACAAACAAACAAAAAGTTATAAGGATGAAAAGAAGTAAATTTTTTAATAAAAATGGAATTATGTGTGAAGATTAAGATGTATGAATGCTTACAGAATGAAAAAATTAGAAAACTTTTGCAAGTTATGAAGATCTGAGTAAGTTATTCAAGGTACATAGAAATGATGTGTATAGAACTAACTGTTCTAATATCTAAGACCATCAATTACAAAAACAGACTAAATGTATATCCAATCATTGTTTATTTATAAATAACTGACTATTAAAATATTATAGAGTAGTTAAAAATAGCAGACTGGTGTAAGTGATCTTCTGGGCATTTGATAACCATTCTTGATGTCTATTCTAATGTAGTCAGAGGGATTAAAAGAGGGACTATTTTCCCATTGGCTTACAAGGTCAACAAGGTCCCGAGGGACTATGGATAATCTCTAGAAATGTTCTGGAACTGTAGGAATTCACCCGTTCTCTTGTTCAGAGAAGCCATGGTGACCCTACTCAATTAATTTTAATCACTGTCCTGTCTGCAAAGAAGAGAGGACATTTAGAGGAAAGATTCCCTTTGTGCTTCCAGAGAAAGCCACAGCCAGTCCTTTGACCTATCCTCACATAGATGGACATCTGGTAGAGAAATGCTTAAGGAGTCAGAGATGCCTCCAAAGCCCAAATGACCTCTGAGGACTGGATACTCAGTGGACCATAACAGCACAAAATCAAAAATTAATTTTGGTTACCCTCATGATCTTAAACATCCAGCAGGAGGGTATAACCAAGATTAAAATACTACATATATTCCCCCCTGCCTTTTTTTAAACAATTGAAGAGACTTAAGTCACCAGCTATTATACTTAACTGTATAAAATGTTATTTGGACAAATATTTCTCACTAATGACTCTCTTACACAAACGCACGCACGCACGCACGCACGCACGCACGCACATATATTGTCCGAGATATAAGACATGACTTTGGCTTATATCAGTACCACTGTTTTTATAAGTTGAGAAAAATCTATCGTCTGAAATAAAGAGGCCAAATATAAAGGCATCTATGAAAACACAAATAGTTGAATGAAAATTATTCATGAAACAAAAGTAGAATTTTACAAAGAAATAGAAACATTAAAGAAAACGTAATCTGAAATAAAAGTGGAAATGAAAAAAATTAAGAAGTAAAGCACAATTCTTGGAAGAAAGCCTCAACAACAGAGGAGAAGGTATGGAAGAGAGAGCATCTCAGATGCTGAAGACAAAGTAGAAGAAATGGACACCCCAGTGAAAGAAAATGTTAAATATAATAAAAATCTAGGCTGAAAACTACAAGACACTTAGAACACCATGAAAAGACAAAATCTATAGATAATAGGAAGAGTGGAATTAAAAACAAAGGTCAAAAGTGCAGAAAATATTTTCAACAAAAATCGTAGGAGATAAATTTCCAAGCGTAAAGAAGGAGACAACTATCAGGATAAAAGAAACATAGAGAACACTAAGTAAACAGGACTAGAAAATATATTCACTATAACACATAATAATAAAAATAACACAGAAAAACCAATGAATATTAAAAGCAGCAAGGGAAAGAAAACAACAAATTACATATACAGCAGACTTTTTAGAATAACACCTGACTTTTCAGTGGAGACTCTGAAAGCAAGAAGGAACTGTATGAATGCTTTAAAAACTATAAGAGATCACAGTACAGACTACTATACCCAGCAAAACTATCAGTTACAATACATTAAAAAAAAAGAAAAACATACCATGGTAAAACAAAATTTAAGCAATATTTACTATGAATCCAGCTTAACAAAAAATACTAATCTAAAGAGTTAACCACAACCAAGAAAACACAAGAAATGAATAATCCAAGACAAGTAAATCAAAAGGAAGAAGAAGCTCCATACCATAATAATAAAATAACAGGAATCAATAAACACTACTTTCTGATAACTCTCAATAATCAGTCTCAATTTCCTAATAAAAAGACACAGACTAACAGATTCGATCAGAAAACAAGATCCATCTTTCTGCTTATTCAAGAAACATACCTATCATCAAGGACAGAGATCATCTCAGGGAAGAAGGATAGAAATAGGTATTCCAAGCAAATGCACCCAAGACCAAGCAGAAGTAGCTATGCTAATATCTGACAAAATAGACTTCAAACAAAACTAACCAGAAGAGACAGGGAGATACTACATAGTCATGCAGAAGATGGCCACTAAGTAGGCCATTGTTTTTTGTGGCCCCAAAGTAGAAGCAATAATAGTACTTTCTGTGTATCTCTAAACTCTGAGGATTATGCTATAGAAAAATTCCATCATTACATCATTAAAGATAGGACAAAATTAATAAACATCATGCATTAAAATTGTTTAATTGTATAAGTAAATATCCACTTCTGGCAATATGTTATAATTTAATTCAAATTTATATATCAACAGTTTCATGATAGCAAATCCTGCAAGTTTTAGCTTAAGTGTTTAAAATGACACAAATTTATCATTATAATCTTTTAAAATCATTGCATCTGATCCAACACCTTTAGAAGCATAGGCAAATCAGAGAGGTACAAAAGTTTGCATCAAAACAATCTTTCATGCAAAAACAAATAAACAGTGATTCACTAAGATAAAAATGATAATGTGCTATACATTTCCAAAAGAAATTATTTTGGCAAATTTCACCTTACATAAATGACAAGCATTTGAAGAGATACATATGTTTAACCAATTTAAACATTACACATTGTCAATATTTATAAAAATATCCTAGTACTCTATTAATATGTACAAGCTTTACAATTTATGTGTAAGCTAAAAGAAATAAAATTAATATTTAGGTACAAATATAAGATCTCTAAGGTCTTAAACGATTTCTGTAATGGTAGTATTCATGAAAACAGCTTAGATTATTCAGAAGCAAAACGATAAACTAACATTAAATATATCTAAAATGCCATTAAGCAAAATAATGACCGTAGTGTGGTGCTGATGTATGCATTACAGACATCAGATAAGTTCAGAGAATAGAGTATTTATCTGTATCTATCTGTATTTCTACTTATCCTGAATCACAAGCACTAAGAGAACTAACTGTCTTAGATTTAACTGACCACTTTGCCTAACACAAGTGCCTAACTTTGTAAAACCGGTTGTATAGTTTGTTCGAATAAAATGTAAGTAGCTTTTACAGGAGCATCTTCCTAAGCCTATGCACCTGTTGAAGGCAGTACTGTGGCAAACTCCCTTCTCCCCAAACTGTACTCCTTTGCATTTAGTAAGCCAAGGAAGGATGTAGAAGAAAAAAGCGAGGGAGTACAAAAGCACAGAGAAGACAGTTCCCTCTCTGTCAGGGATGCCCTGGGTCTTAAACAGTGATTTAGGATATGAAAGTGAAGAAAATGGAGTCGACATCTTTCCGCTAAGAGAGATGTCCTTCATTTTTTTTTTTTTTTTTTTTTTTTTTGAGACACCTGCCTGCTTCTACAGCCCGAGTGCTGGGATCAGAGGCTTGCACCTCCACCGCCCGGCCATCTTCATCTTCATCTGTACTGCTAGAGTCATCCGAGGAGCTGCTAGAGTCGTCTGAGGAACAAACATAATAGATCCAGGAGCTTCTGGAGTCTTCCTACGAGCTGCCAGAGTAGATTCAGGAGCTGCTAGAGTCCTCGGAGGAGCTGCCAGAATAGATCCAAGAGCTGCTAGAGTCATCCAAGGAGCTGCTAGAGTCATCCAAGGAGCTGCTAGAGTCATCCAAGGAGCTGCTAGAGTCATCCGAGGAGCTGCTAGAGTCTTCCTCTTCTCCACCTTCCATCATATTCTGCCTGGATACCTGGGAGCCACCATCAGCGCCCTGAATAATTTCCGAGGAATCTGTTCCAGAAATCAGCAGCACTTGCATTTCCCTAGGAGCCAGCAGCCCTTGCATTTCCCGAGACCTTTTTTGCTGCTCCTCTGCTGAAGCAGACTGCTGATCTGTCTGTCCACACATGGGGCTGTTGCCTCCAGACATGGCGATATTCTTTCGCTTACCATAGTTGGCCTTTGCCTCTCTGTAGGCGGCATACTCCTCAGATGACAATCCCTTGAGCCAGAGGTCCATGTCCACCCGGTATTGTTTCTGTAGCTCCTCGGCTTGGCTGTTATAGTGCTCTTTCTGGCTCTTCGGGACTTGGTGCCATCTTCTGCTAATCTCAACCCAGCGCTCCCTTGAGGGTAGATGGCGCAGCTTCAGATTTGACCACATATCTTGGTGAAATTTGTGGTATCCATTCATAGGGGGTTTCTTGGGTTCTCTCTGAAATTTCATCACTGAGGGAGATGTTTTGGGAAGATCTGTTTTTGGAGAAGACTTCACGTTTTCCATATCTCTTTGTGATTTCTTAGGGACTTTGGTTTCCTGGCTCCTGAGCACCACAGATTTCTTATAATGCTCTACATCAGGATGGCTTCTCTTGAATTTAGTCACTTTTTCCTCAAAGTCCCGTTTCTCCTTCCGGAAGTCCTGAATGTATTTCTCCTTGATCTCCGCTGGCAGCTGATTGTATTTCTCAGCCAGGAGTTTGGCCAGCTGCGAGTTGTTGTATTTAGGATAGCGCTGAGAGTACTTAGCCCGCTGCTCCTTGTAGAAGCGCAGATAGGCAGTCAGGGGTCTTTTGGGGAAGTCAGGGTGTTTCTTCCTTTTGGACTGTTGTTTCATATGTTCACTGGCTTCTAGCACTAATTCTGACAGTGTGCGGAACTTCCTCAAAGTATGAGAAAGTTGCATCCACTTTTGTTTGCACATTTTGCCTGAAAAATGTTTAAAAGCCACTTTGGCCCAGTCTAGGTCTTCCTGGGTTTTTTTGAATGATGTGGAGTCATCTGAGGGGATATTTTTCTTGATGCATTCCAGTAACTTCAGAATGTCTTCTTGGGACCATGGATAATCTTTATCAAGTGATGCCATCACTAGCTTAGGTTCTGTGCCCACTAATAATATCTCAGTTTTGCAAACACCTCAACAGTAGCTTGAACTGCTTAGACAAACACGTACAACTTTGTAGATAGTTTCTGAATTCCACAGTTAGTGTGAATCTGTATTTCTGAAGAGAAATAAAATGAATGTTAGACTTCCTTTTTGGAATTTACAAAAAAAAATCAGGTATCACTTGTAACATGTTACTTATACCATTAATTTACTATTAACAATGTAAGGCAATGATTTCTCCTTTTGAAATAAAAGTTGTTTGTCTTATATATAACATAGTTATACCCTCTTCAGCCTCCTTTTCGAAATATTAGCCGAGCTTGCCTGATAAATGTGGTAATGAAGCTGGGCATGGTGGTGTACACCTTTATTCTCAGCACCAGGGAACAAATCTGTGTAAATTCAGGGGCAGTGTGGGGTACAGATCAAATTCTAGGACAATAAGTGTTATACAGTGATACTCAAACAAACAAACAAAAATAAATAAATAAATGTGAATGATATAAATACCAGGTTGGGGAAACTTAGATGAGAGAAGAAGAAGGAGAAGAAGGAAGAGGAGGAGGGGGAGAAGAAGAACAAGATCAAAAAGAACAAGAACAAGAAGAACATGAACAAGAAGAACAAGAAAAACAAGATGGTGGCAAGAGGACCCAGTGGGGATGGAATAAAACACCAAAACAAAAAGACTAAATGACTAAGAAGAAAGGACCTTCACACTGAATCTGACTGCTCTCTGGATACAGCCAAGCTGTTGATCACTTACAAGCAAATGAGCTGAAAACAGGAGACAAGACACTGAACTCCCTAGACATCCAACTGTGGCATTTTCACGGTTTGACTGTGACTGTGTAATAAATGATGGATTTATATAGTCTCCAGGAGTCTGTGTCCGGGAGTAAGAGCTCTATGCTGCATCATCTTGCATAGGTTTCAAACAAGCATTTCATTACCTCATTTGCAGTTTTATCTGGCTACTCTTTCTACAGACACAAGTATCTGGAACCTAGAACTCGAATATGGGGCAACAGCTTTGAGTGTTGCTAGTCTTTGACCAATATTGTCCTTTCTAGTGTAATTTCTCTGGAATGTGGTTCAATAGATCACTCTGAATATTCTCCTATTTTTTTCAAAAATGTGCTCTGTTCCGAACCTAAGCCAATTTGCATGTAATCTGGAGAGCCTTGAGTTGTTGTTTGTGTATATATAGTTTCAGGGCTAAACACTCTGAGTTGAGCAACCAATAAGAGGGCTCATTTTGGGAGAGGCCAATTTTCTCAAAGGAGAAATCTTGAGAGTTATTTCTGAATACTTAAGAATAACACTGAGAATTGTTTTTGAATATAATAAAGTAGAAATGATAAAAGATATCCCTCATTTAAAAACTCTGCAAAGAAAATTGAGGAGATCAGCTGGATCTAAATAGAGAGCTTACCTTGGACTTTTAAAATTGGGTCAAAATCAACATTATCAACCACAGGCTGCCTTCTCACTCAGGATCCTCCTGCCTGAAGATCCAAAGTAGGTAGGTACCAGTAGAACTGAGTGGTTTCAATTATTTGTTTTGATTATTTTCTTAGTGACAGGGATAGAACAAAATGTGTGCTAGGCAAGTTATTAATGAGCTGAGTCCCCAACACTAGGAGCTCAGCAAATGTATGTTACTAACTGAATGTGTCTTAATGCACTAATAACATATTATTATTATTAAAAAGCTTTTAAAAACATGAGACACAAGACTGTAGCATCTTATACTGTGGAAGGTTTTATACACATTGCATTTCATGAATTCTATAATGTGCACTAAGTTTAGATCCCATACTAAAAACCGAACTACATATCTCCATACATTCAAAATTTAGGATCGCAAGAAACATAAAGGAGACAGAAAAACCACATCTATTTTAAATTTTAAAGTGATAGATCAAAATTCTGTAGTTCAACCAGGAAACTGAAAATAACGGTGCTCTATTTACTTATCTATCTATCTATCTATCTATCTATCTATCTATCTATCTATCTATTTATTTATTTTCTGAGACAGGGTTTCTCTGTGAAAGACTCCTGGCTGTCCTGGAACTCACTCTGTAGACCAGGATGGCCTCTAACTCACAGAGATCCACCTGCCTCTGCCTCCTGAGTGCTGGGATTAAAGACATTCACAGCCACCACCAGCTGGTGTCCTCTTTATTAACTATGCCCAATACATCTATTTGAGAAAACTTGAAATCTGAGAAAGCAATATAAAGTTAGGATTTCAACTCACCTCCAGATGCTCTGGTCTCAACAATGCTTGCCAGAAAGTCTGCTCTCTGCTTCAGGGATTCTGTGTCTCCTGGACTCACTAGACAGCAGTTGTGACTCTGAACTGAGCACATCTTTCAGTTCTGAAGCCTTTATATACAGATCTGAAAGCCCCACCCTAAGGTGGAGTGTTTACTTGTTAGCCTGATTCAATTAACTTAAACAATCTCCTTCCTTAGCCCAATGGTTACACCCTGAGTGTTGTTTTAACCCTCATGGCTCTTTTGCCATTCTGGTATGGATGAAGTAGGGCTCTTCATGAACACTTCCACATGTTAATAAATGCAAAGAAACTTATTGTGGCAGCTAATCTTGGTTCTTCTAAAGTCTAAGCTTCTGGGCACTCCAGTAAGGAATTCCCTCCTTCTCTCTCTCTCTCTCTCTCTCTCTCTCTCTCTCTCTCTCTCTCTCTCTCTCTCTCTGAAACAGGGCCTCTTTATTATGTAGCTCTGGCTGTCCTGAAACTTACAATTTAGATCAAGTTGGTCCTCCAGGTCACAGAAATCTACCTGCCTCTGGCTGCCATGTGCTGGGATCAAAGCAGAACACCCCCATACCAGGCTGAGTAAGACATTTTCTCACTCAGCTGATTTGAAGGAGGAAGATTCACTCTAAGACTGAGCTATACCTTCTGGGGGAGCCCACACAAAAGGACATGGAAGAAACTTCTGCTTTTTGCTGGCTCACTCATGCTGGGCATTTTGTCTATTTTGTTGCTCTGGCCAATATTAAATCCAACTTCATCAGGATTCCCATATAGACTAAAGACAAACAGCTTTCCAGGAATCCTGCAAGACTCCAAGGCCATATTTGGACTGAAGAGACATCCAGCCTCATGGACTGAACAACTACTGGATTCTCAGCCTTCTGTTTGTGAGACAGCCATTGTTGGGCCACTCAAATCACATCTTCAGTGTACAATCTAATAAGTTTCCTGTTAATTGTACAGTCATTTTATCAGTTCTGTCCCTTTAGAGAACCCTGACTAATCCATGATTTCAAATATCATGAGGAAATTCACTCTTCCATAATTAGTATATACTAATTTTTAAAAAAGCTATGTATTTAATTTTGTTGATGATAGATTATATATTTTGGAGCTTAGAGTAATATCTTGCAACAGATTTGTTCTTTGTAAGGGTCAGAAAGCATGGATTGAATCAGCTGCTCCCCAGTTTGTTGGATTCCACCATGATCCTCTTACTCTTCCTTCCCTTAACCTGTCACTTACATTTCAAGGTCAAACTCAGAATCTGTTATAAATTGATCATCTAGTCATCAGAAAAGTAACTTTATGTATTTTCTGTTAGACAAGCCTGTCTGGTTCTGAGAAAAAAGACTTTTTCAAATAAATAAATAGAAAGATATGTAAATAAATAAATAAGTAAGTAATTAAATAAGTAAAATCTGGGCAGTGGTGACTCACACCTTTGATCGTAGCACTTGGGAGGCTGAGCCATGATCTCTGTGAGTTGAAGACCAACCTGGCCTACAGAGAAAGATCCAGAACAGGCACCAAAAGTAAACAGAGAAATCCTGTCTCAAACAACAACAACAACAAAAAAGGATTCTTCACAGTAAATAGTATACACTGAAAAGAAGTAGCAAGTCTTTCTCAGGTAGTTTATGACTTAAGCAGAATCTCATAGACCCCAGACCCAGGGTACTACCTTCTCGGGTGGGTGCCCCAAGAACCCAGACTCTAGTCCAGTTGATGCAAAGAGCAAGAGGTTTTTTGATGCGGCTGTACACGGGGATCCTCTTGTCCTGAGAGTAAGAGGCTCGACTACTGCAGCCACATGGGTACTTTAAAAGAAAAAAATCACAAAAGTCATAACATTACAAATACCATACAATTTTGTTTCAATTGATTTAGTTCTAGAGACTAATTTTACAAGATCATGGCCTGATCACAGGGTGGGTACAATCATGTCCTCATGCACATTCTTCCCGAAACCTCATGGTGATTATCAGGGTGGGAGTGAAGGTTCCACAAAGGTTACAGTGGTCTATCCTGGAACACTTGCAATTATCCCAGGCACAGGTGAGCACATGTCTTAACAGAAATCTCTTTACATTGTTACCTTGTGGCAGGGGTGGTTGAGTAATGGCTGAGTCAGTTTGCCCTTGGAACTAGCTTTTTAGTTCTTCATTCTCCTGGGGCTTGGGGGCTGTAAGCCTGAAGGGTTAGGGTCTTTCATTCCCCCATTTTCTTTCTTTTTTTTTTTTTCAAAGATCCAACTCTTCTTTTTTTTTTTTAGATTTATTTATTTATTGTATATACAGTGTTCTGTCTGCATGTATCCCTGAAGGCCAGAAGAGGGCACCAGATTTCATTACAGATGGTTGTGAGCCACCATGTGGTTGCTGGGAATTGAACTCAGGACCTTTGGAAGAGCAAGCAGTGCTCTTAACCTCTGAGCCATCTCTCCAGCCAGCCCCCCCCATCCATTTTCTTTCGGCAAATTTTAATCTTAAAATTATGGTATCCTATATTTCAGTAACTTTTAAAGCTTGGTATTGTTGCGTTAAAACAAGGGCCTGTACAATAGATAATCTCTCTCATATAAATTGCAGTAACATATTTAAAATGCACGGGCCAAAGGTTAAAAGCAGAAGTAAAATAAGCAGGGGTCCCATAATTGCAGATACCAGGGTCGTCATCCATGGGGACCTATTAAACCATCCTTCAAACCAGCCTTGGTGGGCTTCCTGATCTCTCTGTCTTTTATCCAATCTAGCTGGGAGCTTTTCCATGGAGTCCCTGACTACCCCTGAGTTGTCTACATAAAAACAGCATTCTTTT